GATCCAGCCTTGGCGTTGCTGTGGACCGCACCCGGAGCTTCAGAAGCTCTGAGCAGCTCTTTGTCTGCTACGGAGGTCAGCAGAAAGGGAAGGCTGTCTCCAAGCAGAGGTTGGCGCACTGGATAGTGGATGCCATCGTCTTGGCATACCAATCCCCGCCTCTCTGGCAGACATCTGTAGAGCTGCAGGCTGGACGACACCGAACACCTTTGTGAGATTTTACAGTCTGCGCGTTGAGCCAGTTTCTTCCCGTGTGTTGGGTAACAGGTAATTGTCGGGAAGAACTGGCCGGTGTCACGCTTGCTGCGCCATTTCCCCTCACCCGGGGATGCGAGCGCCTTTTTCTTCCTCCAGTAAGTTCCCCGGACGGGCTAACCCTGGTTGAGAATCCTCCAGCACCCCTGGCAGTCAGACTGGGCGGAGCAGTCTGACGCCAGGCCCAGTATCGGTCTTAGCTTGCCCAGGTCTCCGATCAGCCCCTGTACTGGGCTAGGTGTCCATATGGCTTGATTCCCTTCAGGCGATCCCATATGTGTATTCTTCCACAGTAAGGTTCCCCTCTCGGTGAACCCGTGTCTTCCCTTGACAGATCATTCTGTCAGTCTCTGCTGGCAGTCGTTCCATCCCTACTCTCAGGTAGGACCTGCCTCAGAGACCCATTCCATATGTAGTACTGCCCCAGGCCTGGGTCAGTCCATATCAGTGTCTCCACATGATATCTCCCTATGGGTAGGATGTGGCCTCTGTAGCGCCCTTCTCTGGAAGATTCGCTTCCCCGTCGTTACTGCCAAGCTGTAACAACAAATAGGAAAGACTTGAAGTAAACTTTCTTTGAAGGTCGAAATCCCATCTGTTAAGAAATTTCGGTGGTGAAAGGAACAGCGGTTTGGCTATCACCAGCAGTGGTATACTCACCTCGGGTCCCTGCGGGTACCAAGGTCAGCGAATTCATGCTGGGGCGGTGGGAAGGTTACGACCTTTGCGTAGCATTTGTCTGACACGTGGCTGCTTGTCAACATTTGCAACACCTTAGGGTTGTGACGGGGTTCAGGTTGTGGCGCTTTCCATGGACCCCTAATGTCGTCATCGACATAACTCAAAGTGACCGACAGATCTCAGTTACATACATAACCCTCGTTCCCTGATGGAGGGAACGGAGATGTTATGTCCCCATGCCACAATCTCGAACCATCGCTGGTTGCCAGGGACATGTTCTCGGCTCCTCAGCGTAAAACCTGATGAGTGGATGCACCTGTCGCCTATTTATACCCGTATGCATGGGGAGAGGGGCTCGGCACCATGTGGCACCCACGTCCAGAGCTCTGAAACCTCCATGTGTGGCTCCTGGATGGGACGTAGCAGATTTAAGCGATCTACCACAGGCAGTGGTGGACACCATCACTCAGGCTAGAGCTCCCTCTACGAGGCAAGCTTATGCACTGAAGTGGAGTCTGTTCGCAAACTGGTGTTCTTCTCACCGAGAAGACCCCCGAAGATGCACGATTCGAGTAGTGCTTTCCTTCCTGCAAGAGAGGTTGGAGCGTAGGCTGTCACCCTCCACCTTGAAGGTGTATGTGGCTGCTATTGCAGCCCATCACGATGCAGTGGACGGCCAGTCACTGGGGAAGTGCAATCTCGTCATCAGGTTCCTGAGGGGTGCCAGAAGGTTACATCCTCCTAGGTCACCCCTGGTGCCCTCCTGGATCTCTCTGTCGTTCTGGCTGGACTTCAGAGGGGTCCCTTTGAGCCAGATCCAGCCTTGGCGTTGCTGTGGACCGCACCCGGAGCTTCAGAAGCTCTGAGCAGCTCTTTGTCTGCTACGGAGGTCAGCAGAAAGGGAAGGCTGTCTCCAAGCAGAGGTTGGCGCACTGGATAGTGGATGCCATCGTCTTGGCATACCAATCCCCGCCTCTCTGGCAGACATCTGTAGAGCTGCAGGCTGGACGACACCGAACACCTTTGCGAGATTTTACAGTCTGCGCGTTGAGCCAGTTTCTTCCCGTGTGTTGGGTAACAGGTAATTGTCGGGAAGAACTGGCCGGTGTCACGCTTGCTGCGCCATTTCCCCTCACCCGGGGATGCGAGCGCCTTTTTCTTCCTCCAGTAAGTTCCCCGGACGGGCTAACCCTGGTTGAGAATCCTCCAGCACCCCTGGCAGTCAGACTGGGCGGAGCAGTCTGACGCCAGGCCCAGTATCGGTCTTAGCTTGCCCAGGTCTCCGATCAGCCCCTGTACTGGGCTAGGTGTCCATATGGCTTGATTCCCTTCAGGCGATCCCATATGTGTATTCTTCCACAGTAAGGTTCCCCTCTCGGTGAACCCGTGTCTTCCCTTGACAGATCATTCTGTCAGTCTCTGCTGGCAGTCGTTCCATCCCTACTCTCAGGTAGGACCTGCCTCAGAGACCCATTCCATATGTAGTACTGCCCCAGGCCTGGGTCAGTCCATATCAGTGTCTCCACATGATATCTCCCTATGGGTAGGATGTGGCCTCTGTAGCGCCCTTCTCTGGAAGATTCGCTTCCCCGTCGTTACTGCCAAGCTGTAACAACAAATAGGAAAGACTTGAAGTAAACTTTCTTTGAAGGTCGAAATCCCATCTGTTAAGAAATTTCGGTGGTGAAAGGAACAGCGGTTTGGCTATCACCAGCAGTGGTATACTCACCTCGGGTCCCTGCGGGTACCAAGGTCAGCGAATTCATGCTGGGGCGGTGGGAAGGTTACGACCTTTGCGTAGCATTTGTCTGACACGTGGCTGCTTGTCAACATTTGCAACACCTTAGGGTTGTGACGGGGTTCAGGTTGTGGCGCTTTCCATGGACCCCTAATGTCGTCATCGACATAACTCAAAGTGACCGACAGATCTCAGTTACATACATAACCCTCGTTCCCTGATGGAGGGAACGGAGATGTTATGTCCCCATGCCACAATCTCGAACCATCGCTGGTTGCCAGGGACATGTTCTCGGCTCCTCAGCGTAAAACCTGATGAGTGGATGCACCTGTCGCCTATTTATACCCGTATGCATGGGGAGTGGCTCAGGTATGCAAAATCCACTAGCCTATACGTAACCGAGACGTTCTTTTTTATCTCATAATTGTGAGATACAAGTCTGCAATTCTAAGGAAAAAAAGCAATTGTGAAATATAAACGTTTTTTTCTCACAATTCTGAATTTACGTCTTGCAATTCTGACTCTTTTTTTCAAAATTCTGAATTTACATTTTGCAATTCTGAATTTTTTTCAAAATTCTGAATTTACATCTCACAATTCTAGGAAAATCAGATCTGGGAAATCTGACTTTTTTCTTAGAATTCTGAGTTTACATATTGTTTTTCCCCCAGCTTAGAATACAAAATAAAAAAGGTAATTGTGACTTTTTCTCTTACAATTCTGACTTTTCTCACAATCACGAGTCTATATCTCAATTTTGACTTTGTATCTTGCAATTTCTCGACCAAAAAAATATATAAAAAATTGTAAGATATAAACTCAGAACTGCAAAGAAACAAGTCCAAATTGTAATATAAATTGTTGCAATTACCTTTTTCGTTTTTTATCCCATGATGGAAACAAGCTTCCATAGTCAATGTACTGGCTATTTATAGTTTATTCTACTTTTCTATGTAATATGGATGCAATTTTATATAATAAGTTTGTAGCAAGTCCTTAAAAGTTAAAATTTTTCCCAATATATTTTTCTCTGTGGTTTTCATTCAATAAATTTCAACTGAATAGCATATTAATTAGTTCAGTGTTTAGCATTTAGACTAGTGAAATAGTTAATAATTAATAGTTAATTAAAAATGTTTTTTTCTTGAAGGGACTATTTTTGTATTAGATGCAAGGCTGGCAAGCATATAAACATTTATGTGATTTGAAATTCCTTGGACTCATCTATACTGTATATATATATATAACAGTACCTGCTATGGAGAAAAAAAAATCAATACTTCTTGCCTAGGGTGTGAAGTGAGTGTGAAGTGCACACTCAGCCTGAAATAGACAGACCCAGCTAATATTCTTTCAAAACGCAAAAATGTAGATGGATTTTTATTAGTTGATCTTTAATAGAACCACAAAAGTATTCACACATTACAGGAAAAACATATATCTTCACGATCTAGGTCTCTCAGGCTAACTTTATGCTGTTAGGCAGAGTGAATTCACAACAAAGCAAATGTGCCATGTTATGTCATTTTCCAAGAAATTATACATATAAGGCTTAGGGTATGTTAAACTCACATTTCTACTGGAAGCGCAGAACTAATTGCACATGCAAGAGAAGACACTTCTCAGTTATGCATAATGGCTAGAACGCCCACTAAGGATAACAGCAGAATTAAAAATGTGTCTTTATATGGAGAACAATTACATTATAGTAAACCGAAGAAGTGTTTCACTCTGACAGCGTAGAGCTGGTTCGAGGAAGTTTGAAAAAGTAAACAAATTCCTGTTTCAACAAATCTGTGAACAAAAGTTTCAGAAAATGGATCAAAGTGGCAGCAAAAACAAGCCAAACTAAATCAACATAACAGAAGCAGTCCATCCTGATTTACTCTTCCAGAGTTCCTGCTTCACCAAAGAGGCCACGTCCTCTGACTTCAAACAAGTGCAATTATGTTTGACTTTTTCTGAAAGTCGGAAAACAGATTGGGCCTGTCCATTGTTTTTCTCAAGGTACAAAATAACAAGATATTAGTGTATAACCTGAGGGGAAATGCCTAAAATGTCAGAAAAACAGTGGACAGACACAAAAATGGGGAAAACTCAAATGTGAGATCTTAACCCATCAAAGAGCTGGAGTATTTGGGATATATGTGCTGCACTCTCAGAATAAAGGGTACAAAGTTGTCACTGAAAAGTTGTACAAAGTTGTACAAAAGCTAAAATGTACATGATTGTATCTTACTTACCCCTATTTACCCTTTTTTTTTTCCTGTTTTTCTATTTTTTAAATTTACGCCTAAAGGTACATAATTAGTACTTTTAAAGTGCATATTAGTACCATAAAGGTACATATTAGTACATAAAGTGTACATATTAGTACTCTTGAAAGGCATCCGGCCCAGTGACAGTTTGGTACCTTTTCCTGAGAGTGTATAGATTTTCATTTAACGAATGAGATTTTTTTTCTGATTGTCTTTTTTATAATGCACATATCCCTTAATGTTTATATGCTGCTGTGTTGCTTTTCTTTTTTTTTACCGAACAGTTGGGCAGAAAGTGGCAGAAGAGTGCACACAGTCTTCGGAATTAGTCTAGGCTGTGGATTCTGGAGAGTTCAGGGTTTGGTCACTTGCTTCTGGTTCTGACAGACCCAAAGATCTCATGACAGGATGAGTCCATGATGTTGTCTGAGTTACATGACTAGAGGAAAAAGAAATATTAAATTAATAAACGACATCACCAAATTTAAAATATTTTGAATTAAAAAAAAGATGTACACTAACATTTTAAAGTTTGGGGTTGGTAAGATTTTTTAAATGTACCTTAAAAAAAAGCACCTTATGCTCACCAAGGCTGCATTTGTTTGTTAGAAATAAATGGAAAAGACTAATATTGTGAAATAATATTACAATTTAAATTGTAATTGTTTTCCTTTTTAATATATATTAAAATGTAATTTATTCCTGGGATTGCAAAGCTGAATTTTCAGTCTTTAGTGTCACATGATCCTTCAGAAATATGCTGATTTGCAAACATTTTTTTTTATTATTTTCAATGTTGAAAACTGTTTTGCTGCTTAATACTTTCATGGAAACCATGATACATTTGTCTCAGGATTCTTTAATTAATAGAAAGTTCAAAAACAGCATTAATTCGATTTTTCTTGTAACAATGGAAAAGTTTTTACTATCCCTTTTGACCTTGTGAATAAAAGTATGAATTACTACTGAACCCAAACATCTGAAACGTGCATGGGATATTTTAAGTATGCAGGTGAATGCTGTGGTGCTGGTGTGAGTGTAATGGAGAACGCTGGACTCATGGGTGTGGCATTGCGTGCCAAAAGAGTGGTGGATGTCTGCAATATTAACTGGGTTGTTTTGAAAGTTATGCAAATAAAAGAACATGCTCATGGGAAGGGGAGATTGGTTTCCTCTCTCTAGAGATCAAGAGGTTACATAAATTTCGTCAATAACAATATGAAGATTCTGCTGGTTTTGTGCTATTTTGTTCAGAATATTTGGTTGTAGAAGTGCAGCTTTTTGAATGTACCTATTGAGAATGTTTACTGTAGCTAAAACCATTTATCTCATGCTGCACAAACAACTTATGAAGTGCCCTTCAAAACAAAGGAACTGGTTTTTGCGAATGTATTTGAAGTGACTCATAACTTACTTTACATAGTACTTCACTCCATCTGCAGTGTACGCCTCATCCCAGCCAAAAGGTAAACCTGTGAAAAAACAAAAACAGACAGAGAAATCAGATACATTTACTCTACATGAGGACAACAAACAAGACACTGGAGAAGTCTGAAGCCAAAATAAAAAACAGCATTGCAACATTTCTCGCTGATGCTCTTGATCCTGAGAGGCCAGTGACCGTGAGAATTTCCTGGCAACTGGATGAAATGGGGCCATAAATGAATATGCTAAGTGTCCCAGCATATCTGCATAATCTGAAAAGCTATTTTCATAAAAAATAAGGAATGTACAGTGAAAGTGTAACAAGCATCAAATGGGGGCAAATCAGATTTGCTTCCATTGGATTTGGATTTTGGTTTAAGGACATATACACATTTCCCCAAATGCACTTTTTATCTTTGATGCACAGCTTTGGATTGAGGACTGATGTGTACAAGGTTGTAATTAATGGACATCAGCCAAAAAAAAAAAAAAACGCAAGTAGACACTACTAAGGCTTTATATGGCACAGGCTGGAATCTCATTAATATGTGCCACCATACTAGGTAACAAATCCCTGACAGAATTTGATCTTGACACTCCCTCTGTACGTGCAGGAAGTACAATTGACAGTAAGTCTGCTGGCATACACAATGTCCTGGCATGACTTTAGAATGGGTTTCTCGTCAGAAATATGATCTGATTCAAAAAAGGTGATAGAATAAAAAAAGAATACACAGAGTATCCCACTGTCTAGATTTCACACACAAAGGCCAAAGAATAATTCATGCTCTCTCAGATTTCTACAAACAAATGTCCCTGGCTACATATAATTTAGTACCTATGGGAATTCACAGTAAATTTTCTGTATCTACATTTGAACAAGTGGAAAATGTATGGAAGAAATAAGGTTTTTTACCATTTATCATTGGCACTGGCAATATCTTGAACATTTCATATTTAAATATTTATTATAGATTTAGATTAGAAATAAAGAACAATAACAATACAACATTTATATAATAATAATAATAAATAAACTAATTAATTAATAATAAATCAATTGGAACTAATACAAATAATATTTTTATTTTAAAATATGCACACATTTGCTCTTACTCCTATGCCTAATATGTCGAAAACTAAAACAGTGAAATGTTTTGTCTCATCACATTCAATTATTAAATATCATGTAAATGATTCAGCCTAAATTCCGAATTCAAAAGGGCAACATTTGACAAAAAAAGGTTAAGTAATTTGCATCACTCGATATAACTGTTGGTTGTTTCATCCTAACACCAAACATACAAATATCAAATACTGGGTGGACGATTTGTCCATTTTTTGAATTATTGGGGAGGTCTTCAGTTTCCTTTAAAGCAGCCTTGAGAAGAAAAAACGATTTCAATGCTCATTTCATAATAGTTTCTTAGAATATAACCAGAATGTTTTTGTTTTCTTGCATTCATCTCTATTTTTAGTGGCCATCAATTCAAGTCTTTAAATTCTACAGCTTAGAGATCTTTTTGGGATTCAGTGTTCTGATGCATCCACAGTCAACACAAACCGTTACTGCTTACACCTTGGGACACAATAACACTCAAAGTAGCTCATCACATGCCTCTTTAATTCAATCAACTCTTTGTTTTCTAATAGCCTTGCTCTAGTAACCAAGAGCGAATGATTTCACTAGATCAACACTATGATACTGGAAAGACAATTTCAGCTGCCTCAAATTACGCCTCAGCAAATCAGATATAATTGGGATAAGCTGCAGACACTCTCCCAAAATTGATTTGCTGTTCTCTTAAAGGGACCGTATGAAAATTCTGTCATCATCCTCATGTTGTTCCAAACCCGTATGACTTTCTTTTTTCTGGAGAACACAAAAGAAGATAACATTCTTCAAAATGCTTTCATTTGTCCTCTGCAGAAGAAATAAAGTAATACAGAACAACATGAAGTTGAGTAAATGGTGACAGAATTTTCATTTAAATGATGAAATAAGGCCAATTATTATAACCTAAATGCTTATTCCAAAGCATGTCTCCCCCTCTGTCTTATTGATGAGTGGTACGCAGTCTGTCACATGGCTGGGAGAACATCCATCACGTGGAGAGCACTGCCTGTCTCTGAGCTGAGCTGGAGTTGCTCTCTCTGATTTCAATCGGTGTGATGAGGATGGCCCTCCATGTGCAACTCAAAGCCTGCCTCGTCCTCCCCCGCACAGAAGCATTCAGCCAAAACGTGAGCATCACTCACTGAGAGGTCACATGCTGCCAGGTGTGTGGGACACGTTTCCCTGTTCCCTAAGCAATCACTTTAGCTCTTTCTTCCCTCCCTCAGCTTCACTGATTCTTTGACCCTGAGTCTTCTATCTTTCTCTAATCCATCCGTCTGTCCATCTTTCTCCCATTTTTGTGCATCACTTGGTACCTTAGAAATTTAAACTACCAAACACAGAGTTGTTAAATCATCCTATTTATTGTAATGGTCTTTTTATTTAAAGGAATTAAATATTATAAATATTCAATTTAATATATACCTATTTGGTCCCACTTTATATTAAGTGCCCTTAACTACTATGTACTTACATTTAAATTAATAATTTGGTACAATGCACTTATTGTGTACATACATGTTTGTACATTGTACTTACATTTTAAAAATACCTGCATGTAATTATATCTGTAATTAATTTCTGTAATTGCATTTATAATTGCACTGTTGACCCATCCCTTACACCTTAACCCACTCTTCAACCTACCCATACCACCTCAATAGCAGCAAAAGTGTTTTGCAATATGAACAAAATAAGTACATTGTACTTGTTTTTTTGATGTAAGTACATAGTAGTTAAGGCCACTTAATATAAAGTGGTACCATGATTAATTTGAACTATTTGCAAATAATATTTTTATTTTAAAATGCACAGCATTGTTTTGGACCCCAGTGACAAAAATTCTTCAATATATTTTCTTTTTTGTTCCACAGAAAAAGACATAGAGGGTAAGTTAATGATGACAGACTTTCCATTTTTTTGGCTGAACTATCCCTGTAAGGAGGATGTGTCCTTCAGATTGATGGTCGAACAATTTGGGTTTTTCAATGTTTTTTGTTAAAATATTACATTAAAGCCCTCAATCCTGAAAATGTGCTTTGAAGTTTTAGGAACTCTCTGATATATTATGCCATTTAATCAGATTCACTGCACATAATGTTCATTCAAAAGTGCTTTGACAAAGAAAAAATGGTTGAAAAGCAAGTCCATCATTGATAAACCTCAGTGTTTATGCTGAGACCATGTATTCAGAGAATAAGAGGAGGTCAGAGATGCTCTTTTGTCTGGGTTCCAGAGTGTACCTGAACTGTCTGTTTCCTTTAACATGCAAGAAAAATCCTGCCGGTCTGTAACCAGGAATACGACCCACTTGCTTTCTTGAGATACAAAGAACAGGATACTTCAGTTAATATTACTATCCGTCTATATTATTATTCAATCTACCTATCAGGTCTTTTTTAATACTTGACATTGACTCTATCACTCATTTTGAGTTTTACGAGGTTGTTTTGGACATCCTGTGTTAAAATACAGAAAAAGAAAAAGCAGCCTCTTGGTGTTATTTTTTGTTTCCAGAGCTGCGCTTTGGACGGACTGCTATCAGTAATGTTTTGACAAAGTGGATCAATTTAACTAGGCCAACAAGATAGTATTCTTTCATTTAGCAAACAGTGTCAGTCAAAACAAGATGTCATGAACGATCATTGTTTTTAACTACTTAAAACAGCTCTTTTACATGTTTTCCCATTTAGGACCCATTTCTAAAGGTATATATCTTTGTGTAGCCTGTGACATGATATAGAGTTGCAACAAAGATGTGGCCAATTGCTTTCTAGCAGCTTCGTATCCAGGCAACGATAGCAGCAGTGAGGTGAATCAGATGTAAAAGGCTTGTATTAACAGCAAATGCACCTTGTATTGTGTTTCCTTACGAGATTGGCCTAATTTTATTCACTATACACCGCTAAATAGATTAGATTTCACGATTAAGGTGGTTTGCCTCATTTTCTACAATATATAAGATGTAAAACGCTTACATCATAAGTAACTGAACAGACAGGATATGAAAAATTCAACAAGCAAGCACATTATTAAATCAACTTAAATGTAGATCACTAGGCTGTCTGCTGAAAAAGCAAAAGATATTCCATTGCATCTGAATAGGTTCTATAAATTTGAACAATACGCAGAATCTTGGTCGTAATGATACTATAATGTTTAAATGTGTCTAGTTTAAGAGGCTTGTAATGAGATGGGATCATGGAAAAACTGCAATGTTTTGACCTCTACAGGTCATTAGATGCATTTATGTAAGGTCAAACGTTGCTGGAAGGTAAGCTACATATTTTCCTGAGAATTACAAAGCTGAATGGGGTCAGGAGTTAAAGCAATGGCTAAATGAGCAGACTGAATGTGTTTCTTAGAGTGTGTTCATGTGTGTAAGTAATATTTTATAGATATATACAAAATATTACACATATTATAATATGCATCCCCCTTGATCCATAACATCTCATCCAGTTCAGCTAAAATTGCTGGTGCCATAAGATACATTTTTGTATGACACAAACAGTGTCAAGACAACAACATGAGGGTCAGACAAACTGACATGAGAGACAGCTGCAATTAGGTAGATTTTGTGATGTTTGTTTTTTCATGGCAAAGCAGAAAACATGCCTGTATACTTACAGTCCAGCTCTAGAATGCCTCTGACAGTATTAGTTAGTTCTTTAGCTTCCACAGCAAGAACAGATGCTGTCCAGGGTGGTTTCTTCCCACCTCGAGATGGCGAGGTCTGAGACAGATTGGCCAACTTTGGATCGCTGGGAGAACTGAAAAACAAAACACACAATCCTTTATTTAAACCACTGTAAGCAGTTTCAGTAATAACCTAATCTTAACTGGCTAAACTTTTTATTTAATAAAGACATTTTTTTTATTTTGAATTGTTTTCTTAATCCTCTAAAAATGGAAAACTGTGTCAGTCTTGTATTATTTTCCAAAAGACTTGTTATAAAAGCTCTACAAAAGTGCACTCCCTTCGACCTGAAATGAACAAAGCCTGCTGGGCAGATTGGTGTAAAAGAAGAGCCCAGCATGACTCGTAATAAAGGGTTTTTGGGGAAGGGGATTCAGACCTACTGACATGGATGGACCAGTGTTATGAAAACATATTATGAAACTACCACACTTTCGGGTCATTAACAGAAAACCGAAATGAATTGGTCCAGACTGATTGAATCATTGCATGCGTTTGAAACATATTTAAGATTTGCTACAGTCTGATTTAAAAAAAAAAATTATGCAGTTATAGAATATGGTTTGTTTTGTTTTAAATATTCTAATGTATCAGCAGTTTATTACTGTATCCAAGTAATCCTGATCTTAAATGACACAATTATTTTATTTACACCTCCACTAAAAAGATTGGGGTCGTAAAGATTTTTTTAAATGCTTTTGAAAGAAGTCTCTTATGCTCAGCATGGATGCATTTATTTGATCAAAAACAAATTAATATTGTGAAATATAATTAATGTAAAACAACTGTTTTCTAGTTTAATATAATTAAAATGTAATTTATTCCTATGATGCAAAGCTGAATTTTCAGCAGCCATTACTCCAGTCTTGTTACTCCAGTTGCTTGATTCCTCAACATTCTCTGATTTGCTGCTTAATAAACATTTCATATTTTCAGTAATAATGTTTAATATAGGGCTTTTGTAGGAACCGTGATTTTTTTTTCATTGATAAATAGAAAGTAAAAAAAACAAACAAAAAAACAGCATTAATAATAATATAAATGTCTTTACTGTCACTTTAAATCAACTTAGGGTGCTTTCACACTAGCACTTTTGGTGCGCACCCGGGTTCGATTGACGTCAGAGTTTGGTTCGTTTGGATGATGTGAACGCTGTCTTCCGAACTCGGGTGCGCACCCGCGAACCGTACCCGAGTCCGCTTAAAAATGGGTGGTCTGGGGTACGGTTCATGTGAACTCCGGTACAGTTCGCTGCTGATGTGAACGCAATCGTACTAAATCGCGGAAGTGAACCGCTATTAATGACGTATTATTTGATGATTGATATTTTCTGAAACGATGACGTCATCAGTCCACGTCTCGCCCCTAGTCAGACACCGCTACGTCACGTAACAGCAACAAAAACATGAACAGACACTGAACGATTGTCTTTTTATTAACTAACAATTAACACAGATTAATAAATGTATTGTTCCATGTTCGTTTGTATACCGCGCGCAAGGTTTATGCGCATAGTCCAAGTCTTCATCTCCGTTTTTAGTGTATCAGTCAAGTGACCAGGCAAGCGAACCAAGTGTGAAGCATTAATTTCTATGGTATCTTTAGACCTAGATAACAATGATAGTCTTAAAGTAAAAAAAAAAAAAAAAAAAGGTTTGAGAAAAGTGATAAGAAATGAACTCATATTTAGCATGCAAATAACTATCTTTCATTCGTTGGATGCATTCAAAGAAGAGTGACTTACAAGTTCTCATGCAACCTCTCTCAAAAAGAAAAATTGTATTTTGCTGCAAATTGCTGACAGCCTTCATTTTGATTGATGAGGACATATGTAATATTTTTTAGCCCTAATACACAAAGACAGTGGCCTCTTCAGTCAGTGTGGGGTGATCATTAGGGGAAAAAGGGCTTTCCAGACGTGCTCTGCTAGCTGAGCAAGGGGCTGCAGGAGGCCATGTTGATTGGGCCTAATCAACATCACTGCCACAGGAAGGTGTTGTACTGGCCTCTAGTCGTTAACTATCCCTGTCTTTTGCCCACAAAGTCTCTCTTATAATAGAAATAAAGGCAGAAGACTCACTCTGGAAAAAAGTTACCATTTACACACCCTGAATACACAGCCTCCTAGAATATCAAAGGCGAACTTTAATGACTGTGTAAAGGTCCCTAAAGGAAAAGAGATTTTGTTATTACATCATTCTTTTCCACACACCTGTTGCTAGCGAAGTGTGGTATTACTGTCTGGCATACTTCAAATTAGATTAGAATTCAGTCAAATAATTAGATCTGCCTTAACAAAAGACTGACGGGGGTACGAGAATAATTATCTTACCTATAGCCTCTTGAACCGCTTTGGTTTTCAGACAAAAAGCCTTGGACAGCCTGTGGGGGTTTTAAAATGCAGGTGATCAGATTAGTCCATAGTTGCAAGATTTAATGCTGCATAAAGATCAACATTCTGCTATTTTATTTGTAATAACAATAACACAATTGATTTTATATGATTAATATTACTATTATTACTACTACTTGCAATCATCATCATCATCATCATCATCCTCATATTTTTTTACATTTATTATTATTATTATTAATACCACTGCTACTACTACTGTTGTACAGTTAAATATTTTAAATCCATAATAATAATAATAATAAATGATGAAGATTATAATAAAAATATTATTATTATAAAAATGATTATTATTATTAATACCGCTGCTGCTGCTGCTGCTGGTGCTACTACCTGTCTTTTGCCCACAAAGTCTCTCTTATAATAGAAATAAAGGCAGAAGACTCACTCTGGAAAAAAGTTACCATTTACACACCCTGAATACACAGCCTCCTAGAATATCAAAGGCGAACTTTAATGACTGTGTAAAGGTCCCTAAAGGAAAAGAGATTTTGTTATTACATCATTCTTTTCCACACACCTGTTGCTAGCGAAGTGTGGTATTACTGTCTGGCATACTTCAAATTAGATTAGAATTCAGTCAAATAATTAGATCTGCCTTAACAAAAGACTGACGGGGGTACGAGAATAATTATCTTACCTATAGCCTCTTGAACCGCTTTGGTTTTCAGACAAAAAGCCTTGGACAGCCTGTGGGGGTTTTAAAATGCAGGTGATCAGATTAGTCCATAGTTGCAAGATTTAATGCTGCATAAAGATCAACATTCTGCTATTTTATTTGTAATAACAATAACACAATTGATTTTATATGATTAATATTACTATTATTACTACTACTTGCAATCATCATCATCATCATCATCATCCTCATATTTTTTTACATTTATTATTATTATTATTAATACCACTGCTACTACTACTGTTGTACAGTTAAATATTTTAAATCCATAATAATAATAATAATAAATGATGAAGATTATAATAAAAATATTATTATTATAAAAATGATTATTATTGCTGCTGCTGCTGCTGCTGCTGCTGCTGGTGCTACTACTACTGCTTGTATAGTTAAATATTTTAAATCTATAATAATAATAATAATAATAATTATTATTATTATTATTATTAACACCATTTCTTTACAGGTTACATACAGTATATAGGTACATAAGCATATTCACATAAGAGTAAAATTGCAATTAAAATCAAGTATCTGATGCATGGTGTCCACGAAATGAACCATTCAGGATGCAATGCTATATACAAACCATATTCAGCAAGAACTGAAGTGGCTATGCATCATGTACTTCTGGAATATATATATATTATATTCTTATGCAACAGACAGACAGTAAAGCACAGGTTTATTTGGGAAAAACGTTTTTTTTTTTTCTCTGTGTTCTGTGATAAATGTATGATTTATGCAGTCCAATGGAGTGCTAATTGATTTGTTGCATCTGGTATAAGTGGAAAAACAGTTGCACATTGATGTCATGTTGTTGTTGTTGTTTTTTAAAATAGCTGCCTAATGAAAGGGTTACTACACATTCTATGTCAATCATATGAATGTCAGTTCAAAAATGTCCTTTATGTTTGTAAGAACTCTTGGAATGATGACGTAAATACACTATGCTTGTGTGACTACCTTTGACTACCCACTTCATATAAGTTGATGGATGCCATCAGAAGGACATTCTACACACAATTTTTTGGCTCAGATTTTCTGGTTTAGTGAGAAGACTAAATTCAGGGAAAGAGTAAGAATGGTCTTTGTCAAATCAACATATGAAGTGCAAATACCTATACAGTACAATTTAATATCCTAAGTCACTCTGCATGAGCAATATTCATGGTGGAACCTGATTTTAAGATATGAGGATGTGATGATTTAATGTGCAGTTGGTTAAACTTAATTGAAAATAAAGATACATCACCTCCACAAACTGTAGAAGTTTACCCGTGGAGACTTCAAAACCCTTCTTTGCAGTTTCACTCTTCCGTAGCTGGCATTCGAGTACAGAAATCCTTTTTTTCAGATCTTGCATATCATCCTGAATGAATATTAGTAAAGTAGTACAGATTACAGTTTTAGTATAATAAAATGTACTTTTTTAATGCATTAAAATGGTACTGATTCAAAACGTGTCTAATATGGATTTGCAATTAAAAGTGCTGTCAGAAAATTAAACATTGGAAATAGTAAACTGGGCTTTTTTATACATATATTTTAGAATAATTTTGAAGGTGATTGTGCTAAAATGCAATTATTACATAGTGTGTGATTATTTTTCCACAAGCAATTGTAACAATAATGTTATCCTACGTAATCATAAATTGCTGTGAAAATAAAGTTTATCCTGGAGACACACGAGGTTGCTAGCCAGAGTTTTCAAAAATAACCTCGTCAGCCCACGTCACCCTGCAAGATCATGTTAAAGCCTTCGCAGCACATCAGCCCAGTTACTGAATAATACAAAGCAAACAGTGACCTACTTTCTATAGTACACGAGAGAGGTAAAACCCGGAGTGGGGTCGTGCATGGGGATGTGGATTGGGAATGGCTAGTGTAAAACTCTCAAAGTGGAATACCTTTCCACGGCCGGGTTGCTCAGTTTTCTGAGACTTCATTTCAGCTATCTCAGCCTCCAGGAGATGGATAACCTCCTCGTAGTCCATCTCCATTCCCCGGGCCTGTTTCTGAGCTGCCTCTGCCAGATGGATCCGGGTCCGCAGGGATCGACTCTCCTCCATTGCAGATTTTGCTTCCTGCAACAGTGGAGTTCCACTTAGAGTGACAGTGCTGAGAATGCATGTACAGTAGGACCTTACAATGCTCAGGGGCTCTTCCCCCCTAACATTGCAAACTCAGTGAACTTGGAAAGAAATGCCTGCACAGTCTCATCCCCCCCTCCTTCCTCCATCACTTCCCTCCAGACTCGCAGCATGACAAAGCACAGCTCTGCTTCTTTTAACCTAGAAGTTTAAAGAGGCTGAAAGAACAAGTCATGTGCAAACAAGTTTCTTTATGTCCATTTCTGCTTTACAGAGAATAGACAGGGCAGGTTTTGGCAGACAAGAACCAGTAAAACAAGCTGTTACATAATACAGGTATCGAAAGATGTTTTGGCATTGACGAAAACCACAACAGCATCGGATACTTGTCAGCACGGCATCGCTCAATAGCTGTCAGACAAAGGAAAGGTAACCAGGCCATTGTAATTATGAAGCTGTGGGGTATAATAGCACTCTTAATGGACAGGTGACACGAAATGTGTGAAAACCACACTGTGAGGATCTATAAATGAATGCGCAACGTGTGGCAGTTTACAATTACAAATTTGAGATTAAAGTGACTGTGTGACTTTCCTATTGCGGACCTATTAGAGTAAGATTCGAAAACACATTTTACTCATCATGAGTACTATTAACTGTCACATATTTCAGAGTACCAGGAATAATTAACTTATGAAAAGGGTACAGATAATTGCCCACTGAATGAAGAACTTTACTTATTAAATAGAAATGATGGATCTTACATCATTTTTTTATCAGAGAGGCATATAAATTGGCACTTATGTCCATTTAATGTCCATGTATAATGGAGAATATGTGAAGTGTATTATAAGGATCGTGCATTGGTTACGATTAATGTCATTTTCAAAGAATGTGGAATTCAAAAGCTCATACTGTATAACTCTGTCCCAGAAATCCTAAGAAACAGAGGAGGTGGCTGGGAAAAATAACAAGAATTTAATGAACTACGGAAGCTAGTATTAAGCCTTGCAGTCTAAAGAGATAGTGGAAGCATTAGTGCAGAATAATTCTATTCATATACAGTACATATAGTAGCTTATATATACACTACCGTTGAGTAATATTGTGAAATATTAATACAATTAAAAATTACTTAATACTTAATTAATACTTGTAAAATTAGCCATTACTCCCAGTCTTCAGTGTCACATGATCCATCAGAAATCATTCTAATATGGTGATTTGGTGCTCGGAAAACATTTTTAAACGGTCATACTTTTTTCATGATTAATTTGATTAACAAAAAATTCAAAACAACAGCACTTATTTTATAAATAGTTACACAGTAATATATACTGTGTACATATAATACTGCATACAGTATTTCTTAGTTTATTTTTACGTGTTTTAACCATAAATATCATTAAATTTTATTCAATTTTTGCTTAAAATAAAAAAGACAGATATATTTAAGATATATTCTCCAAACAAAATTGTTAATATTGAAAGTAATTTAGACTTGAAAGTAAATTTGTGTTGTTTTAAGAATGTCTAGATATTCTTATTGGAAAAAAACACACAAAATATAGATTAATTTAATTTAATTTAATTTAATTTAATTTAATTTAATTTAATTTTTTTCTGGCGTAGGGCTTGTCAAAGCTCAAAACAAGCTCTCTATCGTATCCATAACCCCAGATCACAATGCACAGATAAAATTTAAATGGAGAGATCTTATCCCTGGAGCCACATGGACAAGTCACACCTCATACCAGTCACGGCTGCCCCTATACACGTTTTGCTGTAATGTAGCCAGGTGAACACTGCGTGGATGGTGATGTAGCCTGCACATTTCTCACAAGAGAGGAGGCTTAAAAGCACACTGCTTCGATGCTGAAAAGCCCATCAGCCTACCTGTTGTTCTAATGGCAGTTATAGAAGGTAAAGTGTGGGTGGGGGTGAAGAGAGCAGAAAGGATTCAGCAATACAGAACGAAGCTTTAAAGAAACATACATGGCTTTAAAAAGCCTTGGTTTCACACCAGAGGGAGTGTAGTACATCTATTAGCGCTTCAGTCTGATGAACTGGATATGAACTGAGCCCACTGAAGTGCTCCAGGAGGGAGCAGCTGCGACTCCACAGACTCGAGCAAAGCGCTCTGGGAAGGGGAGACAGAAGTTGCATTGACCCTGACACCAATCGAAACGCCACAGGGCCTCATACAGCTGACCAATCATTCAATGTGATGCTTTGATAAAGAGTATAACTGCATTTTCCTTCTTATTTAGATCATCTCTTAAGGTCAACCTCAAGTGAAATTGCTGTTGCTTCAATTCATTGCTGCAACGATATCACCAGCAGCCGGGTCGATACGAGGGCACTAATAGTTCACCACACACCATATACCACACATAAATTACTTTCTAAGAAAATGTGAGCGGTGCTTTTTCTGGCCAAAACTTTACTGCCATGATGTGAAGGTGTCACTAACTAATTGCTAAGATGTTCTTTTAGCATGTTGATATGTGGACAAAATAAAATAAAATCAAAACGAGCCCACCAACAAGTCTCTATGATATTCTGTGCCCATGTTGTTGTACAAAGTTTGGGGTCAAAAAGATTATTTTAATATTTTTGAAACAAATCTCTTATGCTCACCAAGGCTGCATTTATTTGATAAAAATACAGTAAAAACTGTAATATTTTGAAATATCATGACCATTTAAAATAACTGTTTTCTATTTTAATAAATGTTAAAATGTAATATATTCCTGTGATGGCAAAATCTAATTTTAGCAGCAATGTTCCAGTCTGTAGCGCCATACAATCCTTCAGAAATCATTCTAATATGCTAATTTGGTGCTCAAGAAACATATTTTTTCATTATTAATATCAATGTTGAAAACATTTGTGCTGCTTAATATTCTTGTGGAAACCATTATTTTTTTTTCCAGGATTCTCTGATGAATAGAAAGTTCAAAAGAACAGAATTTATTTGAAATTGAAATCTTTTGTAACATAAATGTTCTTAATGTCACCTTTGATCAAATTCAAATCAATTCTGATTTATTTGAAAGGTAATAACACACCTCTTCTCAACATGCTGCACAATTTGAGGTATCATTCATGTCCGTAACACACACAAGCAGTACCTAATGTTGGTGGTTTATTCAAATTATCAACCATAAGCATGAGCAAAAGTAATCTTGAAGATGTCATTAGCATAGACTGTACTGCCAATTTAATTTAATTGATATGCAGCAGGATGATCAGAATGTTCTGCTCTGCTGCCTTAGTAACAGTCTAATAAAATCATTAAAGTCCAATTCATCTCGCATAGAATGCTGAGGCTCTTTGGATTTGGGTTTACATAACAAGCACTTCTGAGGCTCTGAGATAGAACCCAAAGGGCTTGTGGGTGCCCATTTCTTTATAACTCATCGAAAAGAACTATTTCCAAGCACCGACCGCCATCCCTCAATGTCCTACATACTTCATCTCCCACACGATGTTCTTAATGTGGGTGTTTCAAGCTTCCTGTAGTGAGCGCAACACGCTGAAAATAGATTTTTGGATATTGCTCATAGCATTTTTCATTTTTTTCTCATTTGAGTTCTGTATAGTGTTGATGAGAAAATAATGCAGTTTCAGCATTTAACTCTACAGAGCACCTGCAGCTCACCTTTAAGAGTCTAATGGCACATGTGCCCACAGCTCCCCCCTGTGGCATATCTAACATGGTACAGTGACAATGGAATAGAACAATGTAAAAAAAATAAGAATAAAACAAAAGCTGAATGTCTTAAAGTTAAAGGCCTGTTTTACACCACTTTTAGCAGTTTAAATGCAACAGCAGGCTAATTCTGAGCTTACACTGTGGAAGTCAAACACTAAATTGTAGCAATTGTCTGGATTTAGCCAGATAGTCAATATATTCATATCATATGTTAGATCACCTAATTCTGAAAAACTTCAAGAACCAAAAGGTGAAATCTAGTAATTAATTAAAAAATTCACTGCATGTAGAAATTGATTAAAGCTTCATATAGAAATTAAAAAAGGTGAAGAAGTGAAAAGGTGAGTAGTTTCAGTTATTTTATGTTGATTCTAAAATGCAAAATGATTGTGTTGATAAACAGGTTGCAGTAAGCTTTGAACATGTGCAGTTTGAATGCTGTAACCTGCTAAAATGGGCACCAAAATGAACGTGTTCTGCTTACAGTGTGAAACAGGTGTTGGAATGAGTTGCGTACCTGTTTAACTTTTGTCAGTTCCTGCAGCATCTTATGATTAAGGCTCTCGGATTCTGCCAGCTTATCCTTTTAGAAGAGAGATCTTCGTATGAGTGAGCATCAGAGTTAGCGCACTCATTTTGACAAATAGGATTAATAAGAGCCTCGCTCAATAACACATGAATGAATGTCACACACTCCAGCATGTGGAAATGTTTAAAATCGTTGTCATGGTGGTACCTGCATTCTCTTGAGCTCTCTCAAGGCCTCAATGTGGTCTTTTCTTAGTCGCTCCATCTCATCCAGATCATCAGAGTCTGATAATGATGGCTTAGAAAATAATAGTAAATATATAAATATTATATTAAAAACACAGAAAATATATTTTATATATTTTTTTTCATTTTATATTTTTTGTGTGTATATATATATATATATATATATATATATATATATATATATATATGCACATTA